TATTGTAGTGTTTTTAAAAAGAACAAATATGGTGAACAGATTACGGCTGCAACAATCCAAATGGCTACAATGGCATGTTTCATCTTGCCCTTGAAAGGTTTCTTGAATGGATGAGCCACAGCGAAATAGCGGTCAATAGCAATGGCAACACAGCTATATGCAGAAACAGCGAAAGACATTTCTATTGTAAAGAGAGTTAACTTACACAGTACATTACCAATGTCCCCACCAATCAGCCACTGATTGTCAAAGATTAATCTCTCTATGATTGAGTTTGGAAATACAAAAAGAGCTCCAATAATATCACTGACTGCCATGTTGGTTATCAAGTAATGGGTGGTTGTTTTTAATCGATTGTCCCTGAAGACTATCCACACTATAAGGACATTTCCTATAATGGCAAGAACAAATTCAACAGAAAATGCCACAGTCCATGGTATCTTGTCGTAGTAAGGGTCAGGAATATCAAGATGAGTATAGTTGCGAGTAGAATTATTATACATCGTGTTTATTCCCGGTACGTCCTGCTTCTGATGTTTTAGAATGAATACGTTTAGCATAAATGTGTTCTTTAATTAAAGTTGACACAAAAATGCGTCTAGAAAATAATGAAATTAGAGATTCATGACATCTCAAATACGCCGTGTCAGCTGATGAACAATAATCGTTCTAGTTTTGCAAGCTATTTTCATAACAACAAGGCAGAAGCGCGTCACAATCGTTCTAGTTTTCCAAGCTATTTTCATAACAACAAGGGAAAAGCGCGTTTTGGGAAGATTGGGGCGTTTATATACACTAAGTTGAACGATAAGCTTCTTTATAGGTGCATGTAGTAAAATCTATTGAACTAGTACATATATACCACAGTTAGGCTAAAAAACAAAACAAACTGAAATAATGGACTTTAAGAGCAATAATTATGGATTAAATGGAAGGTGGTATATTACTTCTGATCAGACCAAATTTCTTTATTCATAAAATATAAAAAAATAAAAATGTACACTCATACAAGATAAAATGTAGCCCAAACTAGTGAACTAAAAAAATATTTTTTACTGTCTGTAATGTTTTATCTTATCATCTCTAAACATTGTGAACTTGTCGCTTATTTCGAATTGAAATATAGGGACAACTGCCTCCAATAAATTCAGTTTTTTTATGAGAAGGATCCGGGTAACGAGAATGGTAAGACCCGCTTACACTTACAATTTTTGCAGTGGGGTACTCGACCCCATTTTGGATAGGTACGTGCCACCAGCGGTCTAAATCCCTGACCCTGATTAAGACACTAGAAAGTGAAAATACATACCCTGTTCAAGACAAATCGGAAAAATAAGGAATAGCAATCTGCGCCATCACCATCAAAAGTGCAATTATACCGACATCCATCAAAGACAATAAGAATTTTTTGATAACACGTTAATCCTGGGACAGTGAAACGGTATTTTTATTATTTCTACGGTATTTCTTATGAAAATATTACCCTGTCTAAGACACACACAAAAAATATATCGGTCTTTTATCTAAATTGTCGAGCCTGTTTAAGACAATTTCGGGTGAAATGTATACCCTGTTTAAGACAGCAAGGCCAAAAACCATACCCTGGCCAGCGGCACGTCCCCGTATAGCAAATATATGGGAGTGCCCCCCCCCCCCCCCCCCCCCCCCCCCCCCCCCCCCCCCCCCGGGACATTCACATGACATCTCAAATACGCTGCAGATGTCGAATGATGTAAATTATTGTTGAATGTTTTATTGATGAGACTGCGTCTGAAACTATTGCTCAAAATAGAATCGTTTCTACCATTTCTGTTTTCATCATATCTAAAAGTTTTGTCTAAAAATTAATTTTAAAGTAAATATATACATTGTTTTAAATGACGTGCATAATTCTTATACTTCAATCTAGTAGACTTACTAGAAGTAGGTAATTTTTTCGATGTACCTGAATTATTAACAATAGCGATTAGCCAATCATAGCGCAGGTAATAACTTTTCAAAACATTAGACTAACCCCTCCGAGAAAAGCGCAACGCATATTAAATTACAAACTACAAAAAGGAATAGCTCTAATCCTAACACATCAGTTAGCAACTGAAAACTTTTAGTGTCATCATTTTAACATTTATTCTTTTTTTTTTCTAACCATTTTATTGTTTGCAAACTTACTCTAATGCTGAAATATATTGACCTAAATTATTGCATTTTGCCTTAACACAGTCTTGCTAGAAGTCCAGCAATCTTTTCTGAATCAAGAGAAGGCGATTAGCCAATCATTAAATTATTGCATTTTGCCACAGTCTGATTGAGAATACACTTGTAATAACATTGACGAAACAAATAAATCAATCCAAAATACATGAAAAACATAATGATCTTTGCAGTATTGTCGTATTTATCTTTTCAAATTTTCACTATTTTCGTTTCTCTATAATTTATTTAATTTTAGTATTTCAGTATAATTCAACCCTTCGTCGCTCACATTCTTATCGTTTCGAAATCAGAAAGCGACTGGTTGTGGAAATGAAGTGTCTATAAGTTCAAGAACGCCAGTTTGGTCATTGTTCATGTCATTTTTAATTCAAGACAGAATGTTCTGTCACTGACTAAGATTACTGTAGGAATCTCGTGCATTTTAACTTGATGGTAGATTTGATAGACAGTGTTCCGTAAAAAGACCGTAATACCATGAGAGTTTCAATATCAATTGCAGTTTTTCCTTCTCTTTTCATTGTATCACATTGTATTTTACTTTATTTATTGCAGTTTCTTTCGGTGAATCTTGACTTCAATTGAGTGGCTGCATCTCTATAAATTCCCTTCTACCCTCATCTGGTATTTGCTGCCTTCGGTTATCGTTAGATCGACAGCAACACTTAGGTAGCAAAGCTTTGACATTCTCACGGTAAATATCATTGAAGATGAGATAGATGAAGAGGTTATACACAAGACTGAGGCAGTTAATGAGAAGTGAGGAATATTGCAAATTGAGAAACGATGAGAACGAGAGGTGCCTCAGCTTTCTTTCAAGATCCAAGATGAAAACAGTCAACCGAAGACCGCGACAAAGATAAAGCAAAACCACAATTGTCACAGCATGTTTTAGCACTTTGTTGTTTTGTTGTTCTCTTCTTCTTCGTTCTGATGTTGCTAATCCGGTTACTTTGTGATGATAAAGTTTGTAGATGGTGAAAATGTAGGTGATTGTGATAAACAACACTGGCAAAACACTGTCCAAACCACCTAAGATATAATGGTAAGTCATGTACGATGGCCAGGTCTTGTGAGATACACCACAGTAGAGTGAGTTGCCATATTGTATTGTTGTTGAAAAGAACAAATATGGTGAACAGATTACGGCTGCAACAATCCAAATGGCTACAATGGCATGTTTCATCTTGCCCTTGAAAGGTTTCTTGAATGGATGAGCCACAGCGAAATAGCGTTCAATAGCAATGGCAACACAGCTATATACAGAAACAGCGAAAGACATTTCTATTGTAAATAGAGTTAACTTACACAGTGCATTACCAATGCCCCCACCAATCAGCCACTGATCGTCAAAGATTAAGTTCTTTATTATTAAGAATGGAAAGAGAAAAAGAGCTGCAATAATATCACTGACCGCCATGTTTGTTATCAAGTAATTAGTAGATGTTTTTAATCGCTTATCCTTCAAAACTATCCACACTATAAGGACATTTCCAATAATGGCAAGAACAAATTCAAGAGAAAATGCCACAGTCC